GGGGCTACGCCCCTCCCTGAATCTGTCAGGGGGTGGCGAATGTCCCCCCACCACCCCCCTGTGTCCGCCTTTGTTTACTGTCCCTTTAAAGTACATGAGATCTATTTGTTTTATTTTTAATTTTAATTTTAAATGTTAAAACTGATTTTATTTCAATACAGCCTGGACTTAAGTTTGCCTTGTATTTTATCGTGCATTTTGTGGTTTCTAAGAAAAAGCTCTTTTTCATGTCTGAAATCACTATTGTCCAATTTCCATTCAAATTGATATTTATAAACACATCTATAAATAATCGTACATATTTTGACGGTTTACTTATTGGCTTCTGAAACTCTCATTCCCGGCTAATTCATAAGTTTTCATGTCATTCACGAATCTTGAAAAAAAGATTCTAACTAAATTTTAAAAATGTAATTCGAATTACTTTTTTTTTCTTTAGAGCTGGACTGACCGGGAAAGTTGCTTTGAATCAGATAAACTCCAGTAAAGGACCAGGTAAACTCAAGTAAAGGACCAGGTAAACTCAAGTAAAGGACCAGGTAAACTTAATAAAGGACCAGGTAAACTCAAGCAAAGGACTAGGTAAACTTAATAAAAGACCAGGTAAACTCAAGTAAAGGACTAGGTAAACTCAAGTAAAGGACCAGGTAAAATGAAGTAAAGGACCAGGTTAACTCAATAAAGGACCAGGTAAACTCAAGTAAAGGACCAGGTTAACTCAGTAAAGGACCAGGTAAACTGAAGTAAAGGACCAGTTAAACTGAAGTAAAGGACCAGGTTAACTCAATAAAGGACCAGGTAAACTCAAGTAAAGGACCAGGTAAGCTCCAGCAAAGGACCAGGAAAACTCAAGTAAAGCACATGTTAAACTCAAGTAAAGGACCAGGTAAACTTAATAAAAGACCAGGTAAACTCAAGTAAAGGACCATGTAAACTCAAGTATAGGACCAGGTAAACTCAAGTAAAGGACCAGGAAAACTCAAGCAAAGGACCAGGTAAACTCAAGTATAGGACCAGGAAAACTCAAGCAAAGGACCAGGTAAACTCAAGTATAGGACCACGTAAACTCAAGTAAAGGACCAGGAAAACTCAAGTATAGGACCACGTAAACTCAAGTAAAGGACCAGGAAAACTCAAGCAAAGGACCAGGTAAACTCAAGTAAAGGACCAGGTTAAATGTGGGTTATATGTCTATTGTGGTTTTAATGATAGTTTAAACGCCTAATTACTGGGGTTTAATGTTTTATATCTCCCACCATAGTTGATTGTCTAATATCTTCTATTGCTTTTGGTTAAATTTTCATTTTCAGATTACTTAATATATTTGTAGCTTAAATATTTGTGCCTAATATTGATTTTTTAAATATTCGGTCGTAGCGTTTTTTTTTTCTTCATTTCCCTTGTCAATAATTTTGAATTTTATTTAAGGAACCCGGAACCAGACTAGGAAATATATATCTCAGCTGAACCAAACACTGTTCTCTGGTATTTTGGATCTTTACAGGGTAGATTTCCAGATATTCGGATATACGGAACCATCCTCCTCCGAGTATGATGGTTAAACCGAACTTCTTTCCTCCAATAGCTGTGATACAATGATACATAGAATCCTTTCCGCACTGCAGGGCATCTCACGAAACTCTTAGAAACGGGATATCCATATTTCATAGCAGTTGAGATATTCATCTACTAAAACCATCGTTTACGAAACAATTAATATTTCGAATACAAAATCACTTGCTTTTTTCCAATACAGAGATATCTTGGATATCAAAATATATGTAGATCCAGATATATAACTTTAAGAAGCTTGGATATCCAGATATAGAACTACATAAAACTTAGATATCTAGATATAGAACTTCATGAATCTTTAATATCCAGATATAAAACTTCATTAATTGCTTGGAAATCCAGACATAGAACTTCATGAAGCTAGGTATCCAGATATAGAACTTCATTAATTGCTTGGAAATCCAGACATAGAACTTCATGAAGCTAGGTATCCAGATATAGAACTTCATGAAGTTTGGATATCCAGATATAGAACTTGATGAAGCTTGGATATCCAGATATAGAACTTAATGAAGCCTGGATATCCAGATTTATAACTTAACGAAGCTTGGATATCCAGATATAGCACTTCATAAAGCTTGGATATCCAGATTTATAACAATATGAAGCTTGAATACCCAGATATAGCACTTCATAAAGCTTGGATATCTAGATATATAACTTCATGAAGCTTGAATATCCAAAAATAAAACTTTTTAAAGCTCAGAAATGGGGGATAAAATTAAACTTTTGTCCAAGCATATTATAAAGAACAGGGGCGTATACAGGTACAGCCCCCGTTTACCCCTGGTTTAGAATTATGATCATTGAACAGTTGGGTTTATACGAGATTTAATAAGATACCTGTAAATGGAGCTTTTAAAAATTGCAAACTTTAACCAAATATAGACAAAGATGTCAAGTAATCTAGAGGGGAGGGGGGGGGGGGTTAATTGTGATTATTTGTGATAACATGTATGAGATGATCTTATGTCAGGTTTTTAAAGTGAATGAAGACGACTATTTTAACGTGTCTTACAAAACCACAAGATTTTACCGGCCTTTTTGCTATTTTTTCACGTTGAAAAGGAATGTTTTTTTCTTGTCTGCATTTTCTATGAAAATGGAAGGATTGAAAAGACGATATTTGTTCAATTCATTTGATTCAATTCTACTCTTTATTTCGTTTTACTCACTTAATAGGTTCCGTAAAAGAGATAAGAAAACGTTTTTTCATGAAATTTATTTTATTTTTCCTTTGTCTTGTTTTTTAGTCAAGTATTTAGGCTTTTATCTGATTTAGAATTTAAAACTTTTTTTTTTTTTTTTTTTTTTTTTTTTCAAATCAAATATTATTTATTTACGCAGAAACATTGTTAAAAATTATTATTACAAGTGGTAGATTAATTGACAACTGATTAATGTTCTGTGTCTGGAGAACTGCTATAGCTGTAGCTGTTTTCATATCAGCTCCCCAGTTGCTCGATAATAAAAGAAAGAAATATTATAGATACGGTATTGACGGTGTGGTGGTGGATGGTTTAGGTAGAGCAGAAGGACTGGATAGAGGAGAACAGGGACCTCTAAGCTTCAACTATGATTAATCATGACTTTTGTTTTGCCTGTATTAATAGAAAGTTTATGAGAACGCAACCAAACACCAATTTTTTGCAACTCTTGATTGACAAAAGGTACCATTACATTCAAATTTTTACCTTTACAAAGACCTGTCGTGTCATCAGCAAAATGGATATTAAGTAGGGCATTAGACTTATGCATATCATTTATAAATATTAAAAATAATAATGGACCTAATATTGACCCCTGTAGAACAGAAATGTTGATAGTCTTAAAGAATTCAGAAATCTTTCCATTTACCATAACAAATTGCTTTCTGTCTTTTAAATAACTTTCAAACCACTTCAAAGCAATACCCCTCACTCCTATATTACACAATTTTCTTAATAAAATTTTGTGATCTACTAGATCGAAGGCCATTTGGAAATCAAGAAAAACTGCAATTACAAACTCATCATTGTTAAATGCCTTTGAGATAAAGTCAACAATGTGAAGCAGGGGATGTGCAGTGGATTTTCCAGGTTGGAAACCAAATTGATATTTGTAAAGAATCTGATTGGATGAAATGAATTCAAATAACTGTTTAGAAACGAACTTTTCAATAATTTTTGACATTACAGGAAGATTCTTTTCTTTTTAATTATCAAGAAAGGAATTGAGTCTTTTCCACAAACTCAAAATTTTAAACCTCAATATCTTTTCAACCTAATAGCGTAATCCTTTGATATTTCAAACTTAGACTTATTTGATCTAAAAGAATGCATAGTTTGAAATATCTAAGGTCTACGACATTTGGTCGAAAAGATATAAAAATTAGAAAATAAGATTTTGTTGCAAAGACTCATTTCCTTTATTTTACATTGATTCATAATTGATTGTATTATTTTGTGTCTGCTGATAAAAGATTATAAAGGTATAGTTTGAATTTAGTATTCATAAAAAGTTTTATATCAAATATTTCAAATCAAAAAATTCCATCGTGAAAACTTGTAACGATTGAAAAGTTTTCCAAAAGAACTTTTTATGATTCTAAATATATGAAATATACATATATTTATATAAATATATATACATATATATGACACACTGAAAGGTAAGATTTAGTGTACAATCAAATTTATCTTTAGAACCTACATTTGACAAGTGGATCGTATATCTTCTTTGTTCTGAATAGGAAGATTTATTTGCTTGATAATTCTTTGAAATCTTTAATATTTTATATCGAATTTTAATATAAATAAATACAGATTAAGGATTCATAAAATGGCTGTTATTATTGTATAGGTTGTTCTAATGTTTAGAATTGTGTCTTTGGATTTGGTACCTTTTTCTAATGGAAATGACAAATATTATCTTAAACTTAAGAAAATGAAATAAAGATGTTTTTCTAGAAATTAACTCTTAGAAATACTTGGAATCAAATATAGAAATGCTTAAAAATGAAAATGGGGTATAGGCTTACGTCGAAAAATATTCGATGGTAATCGCAACTAATCTTACTTCTATCTGTTACAGCTATAAGGAGATAATTGTTAAAAACGACACATGCCGAAAAAATTAGCGTCCATACCTAGCGGACAAGAAAATCGTCGTTTTAATATTGTATATAAAATAAATAAAATATATTATGAAATATCAACTATATACGAATGCGTCGAAAAAAAATCGATGATCATAAGGCTGTAATACCTGAATGATTTGTTTGGAATTAAATTATTTTTTTTTACGATCCGAGTCAAATATTGCAACTTACAGAATTTGTGCCGACTCTCGGGACTCTCGGAAAAGGTCATCCAGCAGGACCGGGCCAGGGAGGTTATGAAATATAGCCGGAACACTGTGTTCTTCGGTATGAGTCGATTTTAACAATATTCTCCTTATGGACGCAACAGATAGAATTAAGATTAGTACCGATCACCATCGAATATTTTTCGACGTAACCCTATACCCCCATTCATTTTTCACGAACACTCCATTTAATGTAAAGTGTAAATATGTTTACATTGTAAAGAACTCTAAAAAATGTCGATATTTAGGAAACGTTTGTATAATTATATGTATTTATATGTTTAATAAAAGTTTTATAGTTAACAGAAGATTTAATTTAATGATGAAAACATGATAATTCAAAAAGGCTCTTAGATATATTTTATACCCACAATTCGTATCAAATTCATAAGAATGATTTTTTTTAACAATTTAGTTTTTAAAATTTTAAAAACGTTTTTATAAAAGATAATTACAAACTTGTACAATATTATTTTTATAGTATTACAGTATTCCAATTTTCCCACTTTGGGATTCTTGGGTCCCCAAGTGCATGGGAAACAACACCCCAATTTTTTTTTGATGTTTTCAAAATAATTGGTATTAGAAATAGTCCGTACATTCGTCTTATCTATTCATTGGTTCAGAATTCTGCTAATATCTTTGTCTTTTTTGATTCTGTCTGATATTTTTGGTTTGTTGCAAGAAAGTTTAGTTCATTTTATGTATAATTTGATATCTCAGCTGTTGACACTGACCCCTTGAGCAATAATAATAATGAAATAATAATCATTGCAAGTTTTCTGGAATTTGCTATCTCAGAAGGTTTGTATATTGTTAAATGTTGATGACTTTACTAAATATAGATCTATACACAATTAATGTTTCCTAGCTCTGTTGAAGGGATATTAGTTCCAAAACTAACACTTGGCCCATTTCTAACACTAAGTGTTAGAAATGGGTCAAATCTGCAAAGTTATCTTTTTCAAGATTATATATATTTAAATCCAAGACGAGAAAAAACAAAATTACACCATATGTTTATAAAAAATGGCTAAATAAATGTTAATTTTAAACGAATAATTTTAAGGTGTGAGAATAAGTTTTTGATGATTTTTTATTTAATATTTGAACACATCCCTATTTTAAAAAAAAATTACCGGATTTCAGCTCATGTCGCGTTTTCGGAACATATCCTGGTTTTGAGACAATTACCGGAATTGATATCAATGTCAATTTAAAACCAGTTACGCACTTACGTAACAAAACAATATTTTTGAGAAGGTAAAATATAAACAAAAAATAAATTAAATAAACTGTTCCTTTATAATTTAAAAATCATTACAGCATTGATAAACCAAAATATTGATATAATTTGTTCTTACAATATTATAGACTTAACTAGAAATGCGGGAAACTGTTAAGTTTGTTAAAATGCTTGAAAATAAATCATCGATATTCTCTAATTTAACAGATAAAATGTGGAAACTTAGATTCTAGAAATAATTCAGAAGTTAATTTAATCTTTATAAGATAATTTTTGTTTTCAGTGATTTATTTTGTAAGCTATGAAGTGAGTTTTGTTTTGAATTGCGGATTATACTCAAAAACGGGAAAGTAGGTTTTGACTCGAAAACAGTGTTTCAAATTCAGGATATGCTCGAAAATGGAAAATCTGACATTGTCTTGAAAACGGTCAAGAGAATTAATATAAAAGAACTCCAATTATAATTTTGATTTAAAAAAAGTTAGAATTTGGGAATTGTTGTCCTGGTCCTGTTTAATCAAATGTTGGTTATAGTTTTTATATCGACTTTTACTCTGGATATGGACCGAGATCCCGAAAAAACAGTCTTTCATTTTGTGCCAATTTCTAACCTCAGTTTTAGGCATGGGACAAGTGTTAGTTTTGGAACTAATGTCCCCTGCAGTAGGAGTCTTGAAACTGATGCGTAAGAACATCTTGGGCAGTACTCAGGCCCGTAGCCAGGATTTGACCAAGGGGGGTGCAACCTGACGCGCTGCAGGCAAAAAATTTTTTGGGGGGGTTTTTAATGATTTTTTAAAACAATGTTTGGTTTGGTTTTACAGTGGTATTTGGTTGTTTTTATTACATTGTCAATGCACACTATAAAGGCTAACCTTTTTAACAAGTGTATTTGAGCTTTTAAGGGAGTACTGCTTAACTAACAGAGTCAAGTAATCATTTATTACTTTGACCTTGCAATATGAAAATGATCTTATTTCTTATTCATTTAAAAAAAGCTTTTCAAGGGTCCAGGGGGAAACGCCTTACCACGGAAATGCCTCAAAAAAACAGACTCATAAAACATAGCACACAGTTCAAGGGGGAGGGGCTAAAAGTCTGAAAGTGTACAGGAGATTACCATTTCATTTCCATGGGACTCTATTCATATAATTAATAAATCATACTGTTTTAATTAGACTTAAATGACTATGAGTAAATTTTTATCTTGTGTTATATTTAATCAACAGAGTGTACTGATCAATTGTTAGTTAGCCTGCGATAGGTTACAGGAGAGACATGACTCAGAGCCCGTTTAAAAGAGTATCGTT